ATATCAAACAAAGATGCATTCATCTTTTAAACTATATAATTTTTATAGCATTAATAAACAAAACAAAAATACATTGCTCTATTACCACAAACATTATACCATCGAAAAAACGGCGTAAAAAATGACAATCAGTGATAATTTTGGCGAGGTGATATGTCATGACCCCTACTCTTGTTTATTTTTTAATGGCACTTACTGGCAGTAGTAGGCCTTAAGGTTGTATTTGATTTTTAAATGGTGTAGTATAAATTCGAAATTTTTTTTTGGATATCGGTTTGTGTTTCTGGAAACGTTCTTTACTTAACTTGTATAATTTTTCTATAATTAGTATTAGTTTTTGACAAGCTTTATGTCAATTTTTAATAAATGACATCTAGAAATAGACCTCGCCAAAATTATATTCGATTGTTATTCCCAGCAGTCTTCAATACCGTTTTTTTTTCGATCATTCGGTATTTAGTATGTAATATCCAACGTACTTTTCCCTTAACTTTTTTTTCAATCATTATATAAATCTATTTTGATTTTACACTTAAAAAATCATCTTTAACAACTAAAAATCCTAATAACAATCAGTATGATAGAAAAAAAAGGCCTCCAGTTGGCTTAGAAATGAACATCGATGACATTCCCCATATAATTTTACATATAAAATGACAGCGATCTTCATTTCATAGCCATCGCTGACGCCGTTTTTTTTTTCTCGATCATATGGTATTTCACTTATGAACATTTTTCGTAATTGAGGCATCTTTAATTTTTTTATATATCTTTTCAACAAATTAATCGCATTTGTATACTTGGTATTTGTATACTTGGTTTTAATAATTAAAAATTATGAGCAAAATATTCAATAAAACCAAACGTGACGAAACTACCTTAATGTAATTCATTACTTATAACGGTACATTCCAAAACTGTGTGATTTACTAATACATATTTCCAAAGATTTTCTCTATTTTACCTTTCGGCACCGCACTGATGTAACATAGCCTTACTCACCTTCGAAATGAAACTTCTAGGTTTAAATCGTCTCTATTTTTGCAAATTAAGCAAGTTCGCACCATTGTCTTATTGTTTTATCAATAAAATCACTAAAACAATACCACAAAACACTAAAATATCTGGAAATCACCTCGTAAAACATTTCGAAAAACTACAACACATTGGCAACGCCGTAGAGCAATTTATGAACGAATTCGAACTGGATGTTTTGTTGGCTGCCTAAATTTAGGAGCGAAGATAGTAAAATGCGTACGTTTTCGGCATCAGCTGGCGTTGCGACGTTGTCGATTGTTTTATGTTAAATTTCTTAATTTCTAAAAATTATAATTACAGAAGATTTAAACCTTTACTTATTAACTTTACTACCTTTAATTATTATCGGTTTAAAATATTCTATGACGTAATCTATATTTGGAATTATGGAATTCCTGGTTTACAATGTGGGTTAGCTATCCCCGTACGTATACGTAGGTAAGATTTCATTTTAAATGCGGCCGGTAGTGGAAATTTGGCATACATGCAATTTTCTAAGGCAATGATGGATTACGCCAAAATGTAAGTCGCCGTGTCTAATTTATTTTGATGTCATTGGTTCAATGTTTTCGCATTTCTAGAAAACTGGAAGCCATTTCTACTTTTGGTGGACCAATCGTATTGATTCAATGAAATTGAATAGTGCTTGCCCGTGAGAACAAGCTGGAACAAGCGTTCAGTCGCATCGAGGTATTTTTCGGTGTGTGTTTCTGTTGAAGTAAGTAAATCAAAATGTCGTTTAAATGGAGGGATTTCCATGTTGCAAAATTTCTGGAGTCAAAATGCTATTCACTCATTCTTAAATGGTTCTTATAGGCATCTGAGTCACCTGTTGCCAATTTCACTAATAGTTTTACTGAAGCGCCTTCATTTTTCCGTTTTAAAATCCATGGCTTGACCCACCAACGACGAGGTTTTCTTTGTTTCCTGTTTTTGATTGTGTTTATTAAATGTTCACACATCATACGAACGCCAGCACGCACAGTTTTCTTCTTGGCAACAATTTTTAAAACTAGATTGGATGTTCAATATTCTTGAATCATATGGACGAATTTTCCATTTATTTCTATGTTCAATGGTATAGATTCAATGATATTGATCAATAAAATTGACTAATGAGAACCCGCCTTTATCTGTGATTCTATCCATAGAGAAAGCTTAATATTTAGCTTATAAAACAATAAACAATCAACTTTTGATTTCTAAGCACAATTTCTCTTGACGGAAGATAATCAAAGGCCAAATTGATATTTCTCGCAAATTTTAGTGGAAAAGTTAAAAGCTTGATAACTTTTTCTAGTAATTGAAAATGTCTACCACTAACTTTGACGTTGTGAATGCTTAGATTGAAATTAAAGTAACAAACTTCTACGCTAACTGAAACCACTAATTTATTCCACTAATTGCGAGGTTCTGAAGCTTCGTTCATAAATTAGTGGTTTCAATAACTATTGTATATTAGGCTAGTTATTCAAATCTTAATATGGGTTCATAAAATATCTAAAAAAAATCGCGTTTAAGATTTGGGTGCCTGTGTTTCTTTATGGCAAAAATATGAAATGTTATATTAGTATCACAAATGATCTTTGACAATAAGCTTTGGTAAATTGTGCCCAATGAACTTATTTTGGCTCCAAAAATACGTACTAGTTCTATGTCCACTGAATATTGGGACATCCTGTATATATTTTACAAGTATTTACTATTCTTAAAAAACTACAATAAAGGAGTAATTCTTGTCGTCGAAAACCAAGTGTCACTAAACCAAAAAGGTTACGTGATAACTAGACACTATTAAAACGCGTCATAAGGAGAAAAAAATTAATTACAAAAATAATATACTAGTCAAAATTAATAACTGTAGTTCCTATTGTGTAGCCCGAATCCAGTGGGCAGCATACAGAAGCACATGGGAGCGCGATGGGGAATTAATATGGCTGACTTGATTTCCGGTTTATTAGTCGGTTCTACAATAATTATTCTCTAATCCACGGCCACACAGAAAGCGATTTTTGCGTTTTTTACGTAAAGCGTCTTTTGCGACTCAAACAAAATAATAGGATTGTATAGGATGGCCCGACCAAAAGTGTGTAGCGTTCGGCGTGTCTCACTTCAAAAAGCTTGAAAAACCATGTCCTAAAATTGCATTAGCAACTAGCAATATTTAATAGTCTATTATATAATTATAATTATTTATCATATTATATTATTATAATTATAACACACAAGTAACCACAAAACTACAAAATAAAAAATCTATACACAAGTAAACTAAAATTCCTAAAATAAATGGTAAATAATAATTATTATTTTTACACACACCATTGACACTAGCAGTAGATTGCGTTTAATATTCCCCATTCCCCATTCATTTCCCCATTCAAGAATCGATCCCAGATTTTATCCTCGTCTCTTCAACGCTAACCGCGCCGATCTCGCTTACCTCTTTTTCAAATGATTGATTGTTGAACGGGCCGCGAAATCCACGAGCTTCTTACGAGCTTGCGATGCTACTAATCCACAACTTTATAGAAACTGGAGACCTGCCGCTTCTTTTGCGTATTTTTAATGGACACAAATCGAAATAAAAGCTTCAAACGGTAAAATCGCAAAAACGCTTCACACGCAAAAATCGCTTTCTCTGTGGCCGTGGGCTCATACAATGCTATTCAACACGTCTTGCTTTAAAGCAAGACTTGGTGAAGTGGTGACACAACAAAATAAAAATCTAAAGACAATAAAAACTTTTGAAAATGCCCCAAAATTAAGGACGAAACGTCAAGATGATTAAAGAAAACTATGTATTTATTTAACGAACCTCAACCCAAGAAAATATGAATTATTTATAGTATATTATTAAGAATATACCGGGTGCGTCTCAAAAATGGCTCACCCCTATAACTTTTTTTTATTTTTTCAGATAAAAAATGGAGATTTGGTATGTTAATATATGACATAAATTAGGATTGATTGACGTATTCAATTGTTTTCTGACACTTCCTGTTTCGCCGGAAATGACTACAACTTTCGATTTTTAAATGGTACCCTCGGTTTTTTGTTGCTTTATTCGATAGAAACTGATACTCTGAATAGAATGACATATCATATGTCAACTTTGACATTTTCGCATATTGTTTATTTGAAATTATAACATGCGGTTCATAATGATAATTTGGCTCGAAATACCAAGTGTGTGGTATCAAATTATTCGTAAAAGAATGCTTTTTCCAAATATGCTAATGAGCCATCCTCGTTCCATTTGAAAAAATTGAGATGTGATTAAAAATACGATTTGGGCATCTTTTAACCAGCCAGGACAAGACACGAATAACATTAGACGATCAAATCTATTTTTCCAAGGCTCCTTGATTAAAAATTAGTGTTTTTAACAAAGTCATGGCACTCTAGATTGAAATTTAAAATTCAATTTTGTTTTAAACAAAAATGTCAAAAATTGACATATGATATGTCATTCTATTCAGAATGTCATTTTCTATCGAATAAAGTAAAAAAATACCGGGGATGCCATTTGAAAATCAAAAGTTGTAGTCATTTCTGGCGAAACAGGAAGTAACAGAAAACAAGTGAATATGTCAATCAATCCTAATTTATGTCATATACTAACATACCAAATCTCGTTTTTTTATCTGAAAAAATAAAAAAGTTACAGGAGTGAGCCACTTTTGAGACGAACCCGGTATAAACAAGGATATTATATAGTTACATATCAGTAAAAAGTCGTTCCCTTATATCTCTCATTTCAAACTGAGATCTACTGCATGCTGTACAACTACCTATTTTACAATAATTTTGTGGAATTTGCAATAAAGTCACTGTTAGTTTAATTTCCGAAACAATATATTCTTCGACATTTACTTCTAGTTTAAGTGACACTTGGTCAAAAGCAGCAAAAACAACATTCGTATATTTTGTGAAACCAATACTTATATTTAAAAACTTACTTGACTTACTTGGAGTTTCGGGAGTTTCATGAATCAACGTAGAAGAGTATACAACGCTGTTAGGTGCCGAGCTTCCTCCTTCCTTGCTTGGACTCACGACTTTCATGTTAAAACTACCATCGTGTCCCGAACTTTGCTGAATAATGGTAGCTACAACTGGAACGCTGATCTGAACCACCGAACCTGTCGTCTTGGATTGACCTACTTTATATATGAGGGGGTTCTTTAATATTGCAAAAAATAAATATCTTCTTTGGTTAAAAATTAAAAAAAATGCTATAAATTTATCCAGAAATGTTTTGTTGTGGAGATCAAGTAGTTGGTTTAGGTTCAATCTTTTCTCTGTGCCATTTAACAGAAAATAGCAGATTAAATAATAATAGAAAATTACTTTCTTTTGTAATATTCACACACCGTTCAGTTTCCGTTTTCGCAGACAGCTTAGCAGCGCTGATAGCACTCGATTCCACAAAAATCCATTCTAGATTAGCAAATTCTAGCAATGTTACGTTGGCCAGGGTACCGGGGCATATGTGTTTCAAGAGAAACAAAAAGGCAGTTGAAATGGCCAAAAAAGACTCATCAATGCCATTCATAGACCCAGAACCCTTCTGCGGTGCTGCAAAAGCAGTTACAAGAATGGTCACAACAGTGGGTTCAACAAATCTCTAGAACCTGGGTGCCATATCGCCGGTACATGAATGCATTAAACAAGTTACAACAGTGACACCTTAGACTACTGTTAAGAATCAAATGGTACCACTATGTCTCAAACATATCGGTCCTCGAAAAAGCTAGCTGCGAGAGCGCTAAAGTTATGATTACTAAATTCCGCTTAAGATAGGTTTGTCACGTATGCAGGATGCAAGAAAACCGCCTACCAAAATCTCTTCTTTACGATGAGCTTGTAGACGGTAAGAGAAAACCGGGTAGAGAACTCAAAAGGTATAAGGATATTTTCCATGAAAACTTAAAGGGGATAAGCATGTAGAATCAGTGAGAGGAAGCAGCGCACAATAGAACGCAGAACATAGGGGAGGACAATTGTAAACTCTGTTAACAGTTAACAACAACCAAAAAGTAAAGACGCAACAAAGCAATGAGATTTTTGAATGTGCGAGTACGGAAGAGAGATACTATCACATATCGGGCTTTTCAGTCACAGAAGCGTGTCAAATACTCGTCAGCGAGTAATGGCAGTAAGTAAATAAGCCAGGGCAGAGAGGTGCGAAGAGGTTCGTAATAGAACATTCGCCAACATTTATGGCAGACCTGGTAAGCAATAACAGGAAAACTGGCAGAGCTATTGTAGTGGATCTACTAACAGAACATTGTAAGATTAATAAGGATCTAAAGTTGATGGGATGTTCTTTGTATTAGACAATAATAAACCAATGACAAAGAGCTATATGGAGGGTTAAGTGTTAAGTCTCCAAGTTTTTAAGACTCTTTGAAATGGTTAGGGCTAGAGATTAGGAGAGGACAAAAGATCTGAAATGGTCGCAGTGGAACAAGCCGCCACCTCAAAGAATCTAATCTACTATTTGTTCAGGAATCGTTCACCGCCTGTTCACTGTTACGTCATCATTATTTCTCAAATATGAGTTTTAGGATGTGTCTGAGATCAGTTCATATTGTTTAAAACATTTTAAGTACGTTCCTATATTATTGATTGAGGCGAGTTCCGTTTTTTTCGGCATTTATTCATTTTTTTGTTGAACTCTTCATCAGTTACGATCCTTTTAATTCCAATCCTTTAGACTATTGCAATTCCTATTTCTAAAGCATCAGCAACTCGGTATATTATTTAAAAACGCTATCAACAGTAACAATAAATTTTTAATTTTGACATTGATCGATGTCCGTCAATCGTCAATAAAATTATAACTCCAAATCAAATAACAATGACAATTACTAAAAAAAAGAATATGCAGTAATTTACGAAATATCGTAATGACGTCACCAATCTCTTTCATCTGGTTATTAAGTGATGCGAGTTCGACGTGATAATATATGACGTGACGGTGAACAATGCCTGAACAAACTATAAATCTAGTGACAGAGCCTTTACCATACCCCAAATATCTAGTCATGACCAATTGTCATGCTGCCTTGTAGAAAAAAAATTACTGGCTATTAAATTAAGAAAAATGTGTTAGTTGTCGGAAAAAAATGATGTCATCATATAGTAAAGGGCTGTTATATTAATAAATATAAAAAACAAACCAAACCAAACCCGTATGAACAAAAGAGTTCGTCTACATCTTTAGAGATGTGCTGCAAAAAAGCATCTAAATGTGATTTCATTTCACGATATAATTCATTTCCACAAATAGTATAGGGAAATTGGAACAACTTTCGTTGCACGTCATCAATGACACCATGCGTCGTCTTATGGAGTTTTCTGGTGGTCGTATTATGATGTGCAACGAAAGTTATTTTAATTTCCCTTTTCTAAGAATATCTAGTAAGTATAGACGTCTTCATATATTATGAAAAAATATCCAGGAGAGTTTTAAAATAGAAATCCAAGGTTTCATTAGTGAGTGGTTTATTGAACTCACCACGATTCTCTTTATCGCCGTCACTACTACCCGCTTCTTCACCTTCAACCAGTTTGGGCTTGATAGAAATATGCCCTGCTTTCTTCAAGTCCTCTGCAGTAGCAGGCACCAGCATATGACGTTCGCCAGCGACCTCTACGCGCACTAAAACGGGAATTCCGGACAAAGGCCGCAATAAAGCAAAAGGTGTAGCACCAGATTCTAATACGTCTCTCATTGCTTTTGTGCGGATGGGATTTACAGCTACTGCATTCATATTACTGAAAATAAATAAAATATATGCATATATCCTGCCGCGAGATATCGTGTCCGTTCAACGAGAAGATCCCTGAGTGACAGTTGTGTCTGTCATTTTAATTCACAGGCAATGATCAATGGCTAGTACTTTCCGGGATACAGCCAAGCAGTTACAAGAATTAGTACAAGAATTCTTACTGGGATACCCTGTGCATATCTAGTTTATTAATCAAATGGTTTAACACTTTTTGTTGTATTTATGTAAATTATTATGATGTGAAAAATATTTTGCAAGTTATAGATTTGTGATGTTGAGTTTAATAGATATGTGGGTGCGTAGTGGGTGGTATAGTGTTTGGTTTGCGTATAATGCTGGATAAATATACTGTAGTCTCATGATGTCGATGTCGTCTGTAATGCATGAATATGAATATACAGGGTGGCCCGAACTGTATTCCGGAAACTGCGGCAGTATATTCTGCAGATAAAAATAAATAAAAAAGTTCGGATAAATGTATGTCCTAAAATGCTTAATTTTGGAGATACAGGGTGTAGAAATTTTATTTTAATTTCGATTTTTTTCAAATAATTTCTAAAGTAACGTTAATATTTGAATGAAAATTTGTGGCTGGGAGTTTTTTGACATGATAAATTTGATTTTGATGTCAATATGACTCCTATTTGTAGGGGGTGCCACCTACATGTGTTTTAACTGTTTTGAAGAGTAATAACTTTTCGTCCGTACCGGTATAAAACTACTGAGTGAAAAAATATGCATCTCCGTGATTTTTTACGTAAAAAATATGTCTTGGTAAAAATCCCTACGAGCAACCGTTCTCAAGATATTAAATAATAATAGCTCCCGTATATAGCGTTTAACGCCTTGGATGTAGCAAGGTACAGCTTGCCATACTAGAGCCGTTCGGTATACAAGGAAGGTAATGCACCTCAGGATTGTGAATCCCAAGTACTCATTTAAGGCTGAGTCGACCTAGGTACCCAAACTATTTTTATTTTAATAAAAAATAGTCGGCTGATGAAATGCCGGGTGTGGGATCTCTCAAGATATTTAGAATGGAAATAGTCAATATATATCATTATTCACAAAAAATAAATATGTTGAGTAGATGCGATAGTTATTTGACCCAAAATGATAAATTTGGGCACTTTTTATTTTTTTTAATTAATCATAATTTTTTCTTCGAAAAAAATGATGATAAAACAGTTTCTGTTGAACTTTTGGCACAAAAACATTTCAAATTTATGATTTCAGTCTAATAACTGTTTAGTCAATATGTTTAATTTATGTCAATGATATAGATAATTTCGATTCAAAATATCTGGAGAACCATATTACTCGTAGCGATTTCTACCAAATGACCTTTTTTACGTAAAAAAAAGTCGCAAATGTATATTTTTATTATTATTATTTTTTACTCAGTAGTTTTATACAGGTACGGATGAAAAGTTATTACTCTTCAAACCAGTCAAAAAATATGTATAGGTCGCGCCCTCTACAAGTAGGAGTCACATTGACATCAAAATCAAATTTCTCATGCCGTTACTTCAGAAATTATTTGGAAAAAATCGAAATAAAAATTAAATTTCTACACCCTGTATCTCCGAAACTAAATATTTTTTAGGATATACAATTATACGAACTTTGTTACTTATTTTTATCTGCAGAATGTGCTGCCAAAGTTTCCGGAATACAGTTCAAACCACCCTGTATAACTAATTTAGAGTCCTTGGCCTTTTTATTCAAAGTTAAGAACAAATTAATACTTACTCGAAAGATTCGTCTTTCTTGCACACCACTCCATGTCTAAAATGTTCGTGCTGTCTTAAATTGGCCCTTTTCGAGTAATAGTTGCCACAAACCCGACAAATGTAGCGCGGGCTTAGGTCTCCTTGTTGGTGAGCCTGAAATAAACAGAAAAAAAACATTAGAAACGCCGCTCTTCAAAACCAACCGTTTTGATACACATATCCGATCCTTTTGGCTTCTACTTCTACCTTGATCTTGTGGCACATCAGGTTGGACATTTGGTTAAATCCTTTTCCGCAAGCGTCGCACTTGTACGGCCTCTCGTTCGTATGTGTGAAAATGTGATTACGCAAATTACCTAAAGGATAAGCGGAAAGGAATATAAGATATAGGAAAAAACGGATTATTTGGTAAATGGAAACAGTATAAGCTTAATGGCAGGGAAAAAGGAGGTTCATAATAATTAACCTGTATAATGTAAAACTCAGGCATAAAGTAGTTACATAATCTCCAATTCCTTTTTTATTAAATACACTACCAACACAACTTATTAATTAAATATAACCCTATAACTAAAACTATAATTTATCTAAACTCCCCGGCACAAAATTCCGCCACTCTATATATACATAACTTTTTATTTTGTAATCCGATTTTTATAATTATGGTATTAGCACAGACTACCCTATACCTAAATTAGTTTGTGGTATTTAGGCCAGTTGCCAAGTATTAAAAAATAGCTTATGGCGGGAGCAAATCCGGACAAAATAAATTTACTAGAATAAATTTTATTTTGTTTAGTTTAGTGTAAGGAACAACGTGTTAAATTTGCACCACCCCCAAAGCCCGGATTTGGCCGCCATCTTGGAAAAAGTGTCTAAAATTCTTTAGTGCAAAAAATGTACAGACAGAAATTAAAGAAGAGGAAAAAATCTATAAAAAACGTTCTATGTACTTTTTCCGTGCGACGACCCGTTTCCAAGTTATCTCGGTTTAAACGCGCTAAATATATTATAAGCAGTTATTATTTCCTCTATTCTAGGCAGCTTTTGTCTTTCCGAGAACCTTACTCTTTTTATTTCTCCGCGCATTTAGTGGCTGCGACACCACATCCGCATTATACACACAAGGAAAAATGTAATTCGTTAAAGTTTTACAGCAAGAAAAAGAATTATTACAGACAGCTGCACAAACTTTCAAAGATCCAAACGCATCCCCAGAAGATATAGAAAAAGCTGGAGAACGATTGCTTCTTCATCTATATGGATCCTTCATCTACATCAATCCTAGCACCATTACTACCGACCAAAGACGCAGCTCGCTTGCACTCCTTCCGTACGTACAGTCAGATACAGCTATGGTATGGGAATGAAAAATTACCTCTGGATTGGGGATGGGAAAATTCAAAGAATGGGTTGATGCCCTTTGCTACTTCCCAAGATGCAGCTCCCCAAGAATTATTAAATATGATTTCATGTTAATGTGCCAAAGGTTGTAATACATCTTGTAGTTGCCGTAAAGCAGGTTTGCGTTGCTCAGTAATGTGTGCACTTTGTCGGGGCAAATCATGTTCGAATAGTTTGGAGGTGGCAAAATTAGGCGAAGATGAGTAGGTGGACAATTTTCCCCCTCGATAAAGATCAACGAAAATAATATTCTGCACCTTATGAACCAGATCCGGAATATGATACAGATGTGGAAGACATTCAGGAAGACTATATTGAACAGCCAGTAACATCAAAAAAACGAAGGAACTCTGATGAACCTTCCACCTCAAAAAAAAAACTAAGTTGACGACATGTGGATTTGGCTTATTGGAAATCGGGAGCCCACTCAAAAAAAACGCGCCAGGTACTTTACCTCAAGGCAGCTCCCTGAGAGATAAGGCGGTTAAACTTGATTTTCCACCAGTCGCGCAACAATAAAAATTTAGTCCGTTATTGCGGTCATAATGCAAATTGCGTTCTTCCATTATGACCGCGACAGCAGGCTACTGCCAACCAGTAGCAAACGTTTTTAGGCTTTATGTCTCGGGGGTGCCGCTCAAGCTGGTGTGGAAACAAGTACAGTTAACCCCGGATATATTGAACACGTACATTATATGAAACTTTAGTTTTGTTTTCGTAAAATTCGATACTTTGGGTAGTCGCACGAAAAAAACCCATACAATGTTTTTTATAGAGTTTTTTCTCTTCTATAATTTTGGTCTCTACATATTTTGCACTAAAGTTGATAGAAATCGAGTTATTGACAAATAATAAAAAATAAACCGAATTTTAGCTAATTTTTCCAAGATGGCGGCCAAATCCGGGCTTTACGGAGAGTGCAAATTTAATACGTGCTTCTCGACACCAAACTAAACAAAATAAAACTTATTCCAGCTTGTCCGGATTTGCTCCCGCCATCGATGCACTTGCCGACTGGCCTAATTAGTTTGTAGATATATTTGTTTTTATTATTTTAATGGCTTATATATTTCGGTCAGGTGGGTTTATACCGGGGTAAATCAAAACTTCGGGGACATACTGTATGAATATACAGGGTCCGGCAATCGTGCGTCGGGCACCTGTAGCTCCTAGAATAAAAAGTGCAAACGCCCACCACATTCCCTTTACGTGGTATAGGGAATAAATCAGTTTAAGTGAAAATTTTCAGTTTCAGAATGAAAGAATACTACTAATAATGGCTAATTTAAATTTTCCGCCAGCCAGAATGTGCGATAATGTCTTACGATACGTTTTATACCTATCTCTTTCTTTTTCATATAAAGCACACATAATAAAGAAAGATAGCAATAAAGACGTACGTCCTGCCATGGTCCTGCTAATTGGTTTCAAAATTGTTATTCTGAGTTGCGCTACTGGAACGCGGTCCCACTCTTTACCATGAGATTTGTCAGTCTCTTTTTATTTGTTTGTCTATGGTTAGTAGCTAATTTCAAAATCGACATTAGTTTATGGACTTTATTTAACGGTTTACTTTTATTTAATTTACCTACAATAGTTTAAAAAGTAAGAATTTATTATTTTATCAAGAAAAATAAAGAAGTAGCTCTTTGATTTATATTACGATGACTTGTAGATATATTGGATTTTCTATAAAAGAGCCAATTAAGGCAAATTTATTTTCTTCGCTTCCAATGACAGGTTTCTGCCTAATAGGTTTTTCATATACTACACTATCAGCTCTGCGAAATGGGAAAAGTAGTTTTTCAAAGAAAGAATATTCCTATTTGGATATTGGCCTATTTGGATATCTTTCAGCATAAACCCTTCAGACCAACAAGCAATTGTCCTCACAAAATAAAATCACTAGTAACATATCCATTCCTTCCGCCAGCAGATATTTCATTTTTCTTGATAAAATGATGAATGCTTACTTATTAACCTTATTGTAGGTAAATTAAATAAAAATAAGCTGTTATAAATTTAAATAAAGTCCACAAACTAATGTCGATTTTGCAAATAGCTACTAAGTGTCACTAGAAAATTGCCATGGCAACACCAGCCATCTTGATTACAATTTTATTGAAAAATCGCTTGTTATTTAAAATCTGAGCCAGATAGGTATAGGAAACCCTAATATAGATTGAAAGAGCATTTAAATCTGCTTCGACTTATTCAAAAAAATACATAGTGTTGTATTTAAAATAAAGAAATTTTTATGTAAAATAAATATTTAAAATAGACCAGCAATTTTTGATAACCCTGTATACATTTAAGGAAGCAATATTTTTTTTAGTAAAGTGTATTTCATTGGCTTCAAAGTCAGTACAAGAATTAACTCTGAAAAGTAATGTACAGGGTGTTGACAAACATTTTTATTATAGCATGCATATTTAAATATCTTTAAATATCTCAAAAACTAAAGCTTTTAAACATATTAAACCCTTATAATAAATTCCTTATTTTATGTCCAAGAATCCAGAAATGAAATAAAATACCGGGTGTCTTCCATAAGAAAAAATATAACTTTGGTATGGATCTTAGTTCTGAAACACCCTGTACATTTCAAAATAATTTTAAATTATGCACATTACCTCTCTCCATATACCCACAAAATATTTTGTTTCTACATCTTTCCGTTTTTGTATAATCAACCAAGGCGAATGAGGTGCGCCACCCTGTATATTTTCAGCCTTTTAAAAAAATATATTAAAAATACAAGATATGTCCTGAAATCAAAACTATATTAGGTATTTATTTTAGATGGTCTGTATTTACTTTGCTATAAATATGAAAATCGTAAATCATACAGGGTATTCAAAATCCTACGTCAAGTTTTCTAAAATATAAAATAACTTTTCTTGTTTTTTTTAATTGTAACAACAACAGCCTGTATATTAATGTTTCAATCGATAGATAATTAAAAATTGAACATTTTTTGTTATTAGAGTATTTCAAAATTGTTAACGGTTTCGCAGATATTCACGGTTTTATATTTCTTATGGCATTTTCCACAGTATTTTTTTATCAAAGCCACCCAATGACTGTTCTTTCATATTGAAAAGAGCCATATCGAACAATACACGCAGTATATCTGCGAAGCCGTTAAAAATGTTGATATACTTTAAATACAAAAAATGTTTATTTTTTAATTCTGCATCTAATAAAAAAATAATATACAGGGTGTTCCATTTAAAAAAAAACAAGGAAAAATTATTTTATATTTTAGAACCTTTAGCGCAGAATTTTGAACATCCTGTATGATTTAAGTTTACGTAATTTATATATAAATTAAATACCTAATATAGTTTTGATTTCAGGACAGTTCTTGTATTTGTAATAATTGTTTAAGGAAGGTTTAAAAATATATATTTTTTATTTATTTATTAATATCTCTGAAATTATCGAAATATATTTACTCATATCTTTAAATTATGTAAGTGGAAGGTAGTCTCAAAGGAAGTCAAAAATGCAATAATATACAGGGTGTTCCATTTAAAAAAAAACAAGGAAAAATTATTTTATATTTTAGAACCTTTAGCGCAGAATTTTGAACATCCTGTATGATTTAAGTTTACGTAATTTATAGGTATATAAATTAAATACCTAATATAGTTTTGATTTCAGGACAGTTCTTGTATTTGTAATAATTGTTTAAGGAAGGTTTAAAAATATATATTTTTTATTTATTTATTAATATCTCTGAAATTATCGAAATATATTTACTCATATCTTTAAATTATGTAAGTGGAAGGTAGTCTCAAAGGAAGTCAAAAATGCAATATTATACAGGGTGTTCCATTTAAAAAATCATCCCGATCAACTCACTCTTGTTTGAGCCACCCTACAGAAGTTAAAATATTTTCCTGAAATACATCCCTGTACGTGCTTTAGGTTTGCACTTATACGAAATTCTCAGAGTGGCTCAACATTTTTTTTTAAATACGACATCCTGTGACATTTAACCGCTCATGTTATATTTGTCAATACGTAATAAAACTTGATTAGAAACTCCATTTTTACTGAATGACTGTCAAGCTCAAAAAATTCAAAGGTATAAAAGCCTGTTAAAAGTGAAAATATAAAAATTCATATATGACAAAATAGTGAATAAATAATAAATCCCTAGTTCTTTAAAAAAATAATTGAAAATTGAAAACAATAATATTAATAATTTTTTTTTATTTACTAAACTAAAATATTTTCTTGTTTGCTTTGCAGCAATAATAACATATTACTGAATAATTAAACAAGTTAGTATTAATCCTAAAGATCAAATATGAATCACATCCACACTTCGAGTTTGACAAAATGGTGAATGCGCCTTTTTTAAAAATATACATAAAAATTGGCGCCGGGAGGCACGTATAGCCGCCCATACTTGATATTTTTTTTATCTCAAAAACTGCGACTTTGACTGATTTTGATGTTATTACAAATTTTGTTGCAAATATTATTCTTATGTATATATTCTTATTATAATCTTAAATTGAAAACCGCGTTTCGCTAGCTAGTGTAATTTTGAAGTTACGATTTTTTAAAATTTTTAACACCCTCCCATACCCCTTACCAACCCCCCACCCCCACAAAAAACTAATGGCCAGATTCTCGGGTGCCACAGTATTTTTGTGCCAAATTTGGTTAAAATCGGTTTAGCGGTTTTTGAGTTATCGTGTTACAGACGGACAGACAGACAGACACCATGAAAATATTTTGTATTTAGGTCATTTATGACCCAAATAACTCATTTTGAGTGAAATTAAAAAACTTTTTTTTGCCGATCTTAATAGCCTACCATACCTATTGGTATGATCGGCTAAAAATGGTAAAATCTGTCCAATGTTAGACTCATTGATACCAACAATATATTTTTTTTAAATAGGATACCCTACCTGTAACATTTGACAGCTCATGTCATATTTGTCAATACGTAATAAAATTTGATTAGAAACTCCATTTTTTCTGATTGGCTGTCAAGTTTAAAAAAAATCAAAAGTATAAAAGCCTGTTAAAAGTGAACATATAAATCTCAAAATTCAAATATGGTGAATAAATAATGACTCCCTAGTTCTTTAAAAAAATAATTGAAAATTGAAAACAATAATATTAATATTTTTTTTATATATAAAACTAAAATATTTTCTTGTTTAAGCAGCAAAAATAACACATTAGTAAATAATTAAACAATTTAGTTTTAATCCTAAACACAGATAACATGAGATCATATGAATTACATCCAACAATTCGAGTTTGACAGAATGGCGAATGCGCCTGTTTTGAAAATATACATGAAAATATACAGAAAATGTTCATTATTAATTAAATAAAAAATCAACCATTGTTTATAAATTTATAGTTATAGTATCGATAATAAAACAAAATATCGAAAATAAAAAAAAATAAAAAAATTCCGTGTATCAACATTTCGCAATTGTGATAATTTTTCAAATTGATTCTGAAAAATAATTTAATTTTTGTTTTGAAAAAATTACTTTCAATAAAAGATGCAATAAATAAGATTTGCAACATAAATAAATTTGATAATTGAAAGGTATTTTAATTTTAATTATAAGCCAAACCAAAAACTTTGATTAAATTACCAGGATCTTAATACTAAATATTTTTGTGACTTGTATCATCTTTACTATAGTCTGATGATAATCTAAGAGACAGCAATCAGTCTATCAATTAAAAAATAAGTACTTGTCTTAACTTTAAGACGAAAAATGTTAAAGTAAAATTTCAACAATGACTTCCAAGTAGTTGAAATTTATTTACAGTCGATAATTAAAGCCACACGACACCATGTTGAGAAAAAAAAATCTCTAATAGGCATCGTTGCAATTTCATGTTGATTTCAGCAGTGGGAAATGCCTTGAATCCTTTGAATAAGAAGACTAAGGAAGGAACATCATAATGCTATCCATGTATTCATGCATGGTGGACAGAAAGAGGACTCTAGGGTGGGGATCCTTGACAGTTCTGTTTGACGATTCATTTGACACATTTGAATTTGATTTGAAATTTTGTGAATTTGTCAGTCTTTACGGAGCTTATTTTATGTTATTTATTATTTATTCTACTACTGATAGTTGTAAAATAGTAGTAAATCTAGATGGAAATTGTGGCCGTTAAATTAACAGTGACACTATCGCCATTTATCGAAAAAGACTCTAAAATAGTTGGTTGTGTAGCGTGCGGTAGATCTCGGCAAAAATCGAGTGAAATAATGGAACAAGTTTTCGCTAGTAAGTGACTATACAGGGTGGCCCATCGAAAACGTTCCGCAAGGCATAACGGCCAGGGTAATTTTTTTTTTCAGAAAATTCAAAAACACGTCAATTTTGTTTGTGAGGGGGACAACTTTTGTCCCAAAAATGATTGCAAAATCTTCAACCCTCTAAGCGGGGGTGTCATCCCCCAATGTTTTTCAAATGGACAGGGGGGTCAAGTGGTACCGCAATGAAAAGGGCTTTCTATTCTCTATACTTTCCCGCTTCGTTTTTGAAAATCGGCCGAGTCGTTGAGAAAATATGAAAGTATGAAATTTGAAAAGTTTATTTAAACATTTATCAGAGTAAATGATAAGGATAAATTCCTTCAACCAATTTGCTGTTTTTTCTTATTATTTCTAGATGTTTACGCCTTTTTTCACTTGCCACAAGGTTAAACGATCAAGTACTATATCGATAATGTGCTCATAGTTCGGGTTAGACGCCAAAGGCCGCGCCACTAACACAGTCTTCAAAAATTAACGTTGATCGGTCTCTCTCACTTTAGTTATTAATGTTCTCTCTGACACCCCCGCTTAGAGGGTTGAAGATTTTGCAATAATTTTTGGGGCAAAAGTTGTCCCCCTCACAAACAAAATTGACGTGTTTTTGGATTTTCTGAAAAAAAAATTACCCTGGCCGTTATGCCTTGCGGAACGTTTTCGATGGGCCACCCTGTATAGCATACATACGTGTAGTAAACCGATCATTTATGAAATTCACTTAAATTAACTAATTATATATTTATTCTTGCATTTTTGCTTTTATTTACTACTTGTCAAAGATTAGATGTCAAAGAATTTAGATACGTCAATTTGACTTACATATCTGCTTCAGTAGCGTATCGGATGTTTGTGTTAATAAATAATTATTAAAACTTATCTATTTTTATTATAATAAAATGTTTTTATAACAATTTTAATAACTACCAACATTTATTCACAACGTAAAATAAATAAAAAATTATTGAGTCTACCCCACGTCTACCCTACATCATAGCTTTACATTTTTTAAATAAAATTAGAACGGCACTGATAAACCGGAATTTAAGTCCGCCATATTTGAGTCCCATCGCGGTGGACGTAAGATTTTTGATATGCTCCTTCCTTAGTCTTCTTATTCAAAGTTAGAATCAAGAGTGGCAATATTATAACAATTTATCAAACGTCCATTGATTGTAACAATTATTAATCTTAGCCTCCCTCAATAACACTCAAACTAGTCGCCAATAAAAAATCAAAATATAATAATTGTTGGTTTATCTTACCCTTCTGATGAAACGACTTGTTACAAATAGGACAACGGTGAGGCTTGATATCACTGTGAGTCTTCCTGTGAGAAATCAGCGTGGAGATGCGATTAAAATTCTTGTTGCATACCTCACAAATGTAAGGCCGTTCGGTTGAATGAATCGCTTTATGTTGAGATAATGTCGACAACTGACGAAAAGCTAGTAAAACAAATTAGTATTTTAATAATAATTGCACTCACAACTTGAATAAAAATAGATTTAGATATACAGGGTATCCCAAATTTCCGTGGAAATAGTTTACCTCTATACAAAATTGCTTCGTTTGTCCCAGTGGCGGACTAGGGGGGGGGGCGGAAGGGGCGGTCCGCCCCGGGCCCCGTCTTTTAGGGGGCCTCCTAATCTTAGGTATTTTTTTATTTAACTGACAAACAAGGCCAATATGTGTTCAGTAGTTATAAAGCAGTTTGTAGTAACCATACGTATACGCCAACTAATAAACAGTATAAATGGAAGTAGATATTTACTTAATTATCAGGCCCCAGTAATTGTCAATGGCATTTTCTATTTAGGAAATTAAATCAAGGGGTAATTTTCTTTGTTTAAAATATCGAATAATTATTATTTTTTATATATTTTGAGACTAAATTTATTTATTTTAGCTTTTAAGTTTATTTTTCAATGGTTTCATTATTTATTTTTAATGAATAAACATTTTAAATTACAACCAATGCACAGCATATAACTTGTATTCTAGCTTAATTACTGATGATGAGCAGTGAAGTGTTTAGTACAACGGGGGCCACGGGCCTGAGACAGCGAAGGGGCCCCTCGGATCTTGGAGAACTTACAAATGGAAACCCACTTTTTTAATTTCACTAGTGAAAAGGTTTTCCAATTCGTTACGTTTTAACTAGACATATGCCTATACCTAAAATAAATCGTTTTTAAGTTATTTAAGATTTAATTTGAAAACGTATATTTTTCTTGATTTTATCTAGCTTCCTTTGACATTAAGTGTCAAAAAGTCAGACAATTTATTTCCGTCAGAAAACAAATTATTTTAATTTCCTATATTGTAAATACTGTTGCCTTAAAAGTTTAAAAAGTGTATTTATATAAATATATCTCGTATTTTCGTTCTTTAATAATATCTAATAGTTGATATTTTAATAATATACTGTACGATCGAAAAAAAAACAGCGCAAAGTTAGCTTGGAAATGATGATCGCATTAGAAGTTAGAAGTATATCATTATCTAAATAGACCGGGGGCCACATTTAGATTCGCCGCCCCGGGCCCCCGACAGGCTTAGTCCGCCACTGGACTTTGTCCGTTAGAGAGCAGACAACTTTAAAAAAATAAACTCATTTTTTAAGATATTTTAAGAACCGTTTATTCCGATTTAAATGAGATTTACGGTTCCTATGTTTTGTTAAAAACCAAACATTTGGCACAAAAATTCACAAAAATCCAGAAAAAATACAGAAAGGGTAAAAAATCACCACCCCTACATAAATTTTAGTAGAAATATTTTTCAACTCCACCAACGACTTTTTAGCCGACCATACCAACAGGTATGGTAGGCTATTAAGATCGCCAAAAAAAACTTTTTTTAATTTCACTCAAAATAAGTTATTTGGGTCATAAATGACCTAAATACAAAATATTTTCATGGTGTCTGTCTGTCTGTCTGTCCGTCTGTTACACGATAACTAGCGATGGGAACTATCGAATGAATTAGACTATCGAATGGTTACTGAATGAATGATTTCAACTATCGAATGGTTTCATTCGAATAAAATCATTCATTCATTTGTATACTAAAGCATATGTGACAACCTCGCCGTGCGACTAAATGGTTATCGTTAGCCACGACTATCGAATGCTTTTGATAAATGAAATTTAGTATTCGTTTGATTTTTGTCTGCGTCAGTGCATTATTAGTTCTTCCAAATCTTTATAATTTGCCTTCTAAATACTGTGCTATTTTTGCGTTTATTAAAATATTTAAAATACTAAAGTAGTAGTGTTTTTTTAAATTGACGATTGTGTACGTGTGCAGGTTGTCAAAATTTTTCCGAAAATTTGTGTGATTTTCCGATCTTTCAATTATTTAATTTTATATGGTATATGGTCTATTTTTTTAATGGGAAATTTTGAGAAGTAACAATTTTTAAGAGAGATGAGGTGAACTTACAATTAATTTTAAAAATACATATGTATTTGTATTTTAGATGTTTTAGTAATATGAATCAGTTGAACTTAATAATCATATTCAAGTAAGGTGGTAATGTCGTAATGTGGTTAAGTAAATTGTTATCAAACTCAAATTTTGGGATGAGAAAATTAAATTGATTGATTAAAGTTTTACACGTGCCAATTTAAAAAAAAGTTAACGATATTTGTATTTTGTTTATGCTAATTCTCTTACATGTAGATTTTTGCGAAGAAATATTTCATTTATTTTTTAAAGTAAATGCCAGTAAAAGCAAATATTATTTTTAAATACTAATACAAAGTAATAAAAAGTAATACACATATATAATTTTGATTTCTAATTTTTTATTCATATTTTTCTTCTATTACAATTACAATTACAAATTACACTGCACGCTTAGAAAATTAATAAATGTTTATATTTCATGATTTTAAAATTCGTTGTTAATATAACAAATTAGTTCTGTAATTATTATTATTTAATAAACCAACGTTGCCACAAAAAAATTAAAGACTATATTATTTTTAAATAGGATCTAATATAAATAATTTTGACTTCTAATTTGCTGTTTATATTTTGCTACTACTTAAAAAAAATGTTTATATTAAATGATTTTAAATTTTGGTGTTAATAGGTATAACAAATTATTACTGTTATTATTATTTATTAAACCAGTTTTGCTTAAAAACATTAAAAATCATTTTCCTACATCCAAAATAAAAAGTATTATTGCAGTGTAACAACAGAATATTAATAAAAAAATGCAAAATATATAGTCATACTATTCCTAACTAACTATAATACCAAAGAATAATATTCTTCGCTAATACCAACTAATACGAATATACGGCAACAGCGCAGTTCATAATGTATTTTCTGTGTAAATACTAGCACCTCAATAAAAAAAATAATGTGTCCTTATCTTTATCTGTCTCAAAATCAAAGATGCCGGCTTTTTTCATACCATTGCCACCGACCGCCGACCGCTGTCGGGTTTCTAGGAAAGAAACCTACGTCGCCAGTTTATATTTTATTATAATCGATCCTGACGAATAAATGAATTTTACAAATGAATGAATTCTATAAATGAATGGTTTTTGCTGCCGCATTAATATATTTCAAGGCAGATGACGCATCTATTCGATATTTTTATTCGAATAGTTTTCGACGAATGTTTTCTTATTAGCTATCGAATTATTCGAATGAATTCCAACTATCGAATGTTTCGATAGTATTCATTCGATAGTTCCCACTACTAACGATAACTCAAAAACCGCTAAACCGATTTTAACCAAATTTGGTACAAAAATACTGTGGCACCCGAGAATCTGGCCATTAGTTTTTGGTGGGGTGGGGAGTTGGTAAAGGGTTTAAAAAATCGTAACTCCAAAATGGCAGTAGCTAGCAAAACGCGGTTTTCAATTTAAGATTAGGAATAATATTTACAACAAATTTTGTAATAACATCAAAATCAGTCAAAGTCGCAGTTTTTGAGATATTCCGTGTTTCCGTAGTCCGTTTTTGAGAAAATCCATGTGGAGAACTCCAAACTCCCATCGGACGCGACCCCAGGTGGCGGACAGTGGCGCATCCGGGGATTGAGTCTGGGAGGGATAGTGGCAATATTTAAATAAAGTAATAGATTTAAATTAAATTTTCGCTCAAAGTTATTGTGACTATATGGAAAAAAATAAACTTAGACTGTTCTGGATTTCTATTTTGATTGACATTATTAATTTATTTTGCGACAATTTTATTTTATACCAGATTTTCTTATTTATAAATTTCTTCCTGGGAGGGGTAATTACCCCCATTACCCTTCCCGTATATGCGCCCCTGGTGGCGGATAGGGGAAATAACCGCGGACCAAAATTGGAAAAATTTCTTGACTTTGAAACTAAAAGAACTGCCTACCAACTTTTTATTAACATATTTTAGTATGGGCGGCTATGCGTGCCTCCCGGCGCCAATTTTTTTCCATAAAGTGATCCTTCTAGTACATATTTACTATTTTCTTTTCTCTTTTGTAAAAAAATGCCACCCCGCATACTTTTTGAGAAAAACAAATACTTTTCAGAAGCTGTCTTACAAAAAATGTTTCTTATCACATAAAATGAAATAAGAGAGATGGCGAAAATATGGAATTGACCCACTAAATACATAGTTGTTCTATGCCCACGGAATATTGAAATTCCCTGTACATTTTGTAGGTCTGCTATGGAAAAAAAATTCTCCATTTTTTTTCTCAGAAACTATGCGATTTGGCGTTTTTTACAAGAGACAAAAACGTAGTAAAAACCAGGGGGATGACAGTAAACCGGAAAATTGGAAACAGTTGTGGCGCGGTTCTACCCAGGCAGAAAGCATGGCCTTCTAGACTGTCCTAGACAAAAATCTGAATATTTCTGTATGATTTCTGTCAATTTCTGCTACGGAACATTTTTATGCACGTCGGCGTCCTGTTCTTTTGTCTTTTGTCTGTGTGTCAGCGTCAGCTCCCGAGGCCTCTGGCAAGGTCGGGCGCCATTTTAATTTTTGCCGTTTAGATTTGATTGGAAGTTTGTTTCTGATATTTCGGCTGAAATTTATAAGTGCAAAGATGTTTTTTGATATAAAGTTCCTTGTTAACACTTTAATAAAGTATATATGATATTAATTACATGAAGAAAATGATGAAATCGACGTTTCTGCGTGTAGTAGGTATGGGCCATATTATATGTAAAAATAGGTAATATATTAACTGTTTTTATATTTTTTTTAGCTTTAAACCCAAGGATCTTGGGATATTCTTTGCCAAGGATTTTTCCGTATCTCTACTTTAAAGACTGATCGGTGATTTTGAGCAACTGAAAGCAAGTTATACAAGGTAAATTATGATTATTGAACTATTATTAGCCTACATTAATTTTCTACAAGATGAACAGAAATGCGTAATTACATATCACATAGGTTTGAGTAGTAGATCATAGCAATAATGCTATAAATCTATGTATGTAGATTATTTTTAAAATACAAATGTGGTATTAGATGTATATGTATTATATTTTTTATTCATTTTATTTTCATTCAAGTCCTGTTTGATTTAATTCACAAAAGTCTTATGTACCTATATTTATGTTTTTTACATATTTTTTTTTTGATTCCAGGTTTTGTGTGGGTTCCGGTTGCCTTTTTCCTGCTTCCAGTTATTTAGTTTTATGCCCGTGAAGCTGTGAAAACATTTATTTATCTTCAAGTTTCTGTAAGTCAATGCACTGTTACTTTACTAATTCACTTTAACACAGCATCTCTGATATTATTTAAATATTTGATATTGATACAGTAGTTTATTGGATTATAGCTCTTTAATTGTGTTGATTTGCATATTTACATTGTTCTAAATTCCAAATAAATATTTTTGAGTAATTTTGTTGTATTATTTACTACTAGAAAGAGTAAAAAGTATATTAACCCTCATTTAAACCTCCTGAACAGCCCGCCATTAAAAACCGGAAACGGAAATAAATTTCATAAAATTGAAATTGTCATGTCTATGTCATGTCAAATGTCCCAGCCGCCATATCTGAAAATTAGTTACCCAGGCAGCCACGCTGTTTCCATAATTTAACATTGACTTGACACTTCTTCTTGTATTTATTATTTTATGGTAAAAACTAGGAGGACCATTCTACGAAAAAAAAATCAGTTGTTGGTGGAGTTCGAAAATATACCGTATGATCGAATAAAAACGGCGTCAGTGATGGCTATGAAATGAAAATCACTATCATTTTATATGTAAATTTATATAGGAAATGCGATCGATTGTCATTTCCAAGCCAACTGGACGCCGTTTTTATTCGATCATACGGTATATATCTACTAAAATTTATGTAGGAGTGGGAATAGTTTTCACCCTCCCCGTACTATTTCATGATTTTTGTGAAAGTCAAATGTTAAAAAACTTAGCAAAATATAGGTACCCCAAATCTCATTTAAACCGGAATAACGGTTCTTAAAATATCTTAAAAAATGTGTTTATCTTTTATTAAAGTTTGATGCCCTCTAATGGACAAACCAAGCACTTTTGTATAGAGCTAAATTGTGTCCAATGGACTTATTTTGATTCCAAACACACGTAGTAGTTCTATGCCCACGGAATATTGGGACACCCTGTATAGATAACCTTTTATTGTATCTTTTAATACAATTAGGAAAAACTAATTAGAATTAAAATATTCTTTATAAAAATATTTTGTTACGCACTTACATTTTCCGCAAGTGGGACAATTAAATTTGCGTTCGTCGGTGTGCGTTGGCAAATGTCGCATTAGAGTGTACTGATGTCCAAACTCCTTTCCACCTAAAAAATCAACTTGCTCGTTTATGAGATCTTGCACGGCAAAATACTGCAATAATTATTTTAATACAATCAATTTCTATCCTTTAATAAATCAGTCTCTGAGCAAGGAGAAAAATATACTCAGTGCGAACTGACTATACTAACCCAAAACAGTCCGAAAATCGAAATTAGATTTTTTGATATTTGACGTTTGACGATTGACATTTTTTGAAATAAAAAATTGAAATCCTGAAATCGTTGTTTGTCAATGTAATAATTTTGCTTTATTTTGGTTTATGTCTTTGTGTGTAAAAAAAACATAAAAAATAGAAATATATATTTTTAATTTATTGCGAAAACGGGAAATCAGAGTCAAAAATTGAATTAAAAAAAATGGTCAAGTGCGAGTCGGACTCGCGTACGAAGGGTTCCGTACCATTCATTATCCATACAACATTAGTCACTATATTATTATAAACTTTTTTCCGAAATTTTAAATGCGCGTATAAGTAATTTAAAAAAAAATGAAGAAACACATTACTAAAAATTGTATTAATCAATAATGAATATGTAAAAAGTAAAAATAAATATGTAAAAATTAACTTTTATTAAAAATAACGATTAAAAAAAGTCGCCTTGACTAGGATTCGAACCTGCCTTACTACGGCTCCAACGTCCATAGCAGCGGAAAGTCCTAACGCTTTAACCACGCGGCCACCGAGGACTTGAAAGATTCTATGTAAAATTCTTACTTAAAAGATAATATTTAGTGAAAGTACTTTTTATTTATAAGCATTTTTAATTCTGTTTTTTGTTCTTGTAGCGGCAACATAGATACATTATCTGTGAAAATTTCAAATTTCAACTGTTTAGCTATAACGGTTCATAAGATAGACCTTTGTGACAGACGGACGGACAGCGAAGTCTTACTAATAGGGTTCCCGTTTTTACCCTCTGGTCCTCTGGGTACAGAATACGGAACCCTAAAAAAGATCGATTGTTTATTAGCTTGCGATTTGCGAATTTTCTTGTATCGATTAGTATCGACTCGCGATCATTCGATCTAGATCGATCCAAAAAATCGATTCTTTTTACAAAACCGCACATCCCTAAAGCCCACGCGGCCTTTTATAACAAAAATATTATTTTTCATTGATCATTTGAGCGCTTTTTCTTTTTTGAAAGGGAGAAACGGCTACTGTCAAAACATACCCTTTTTTCCAATACCTGGTTGTGGTTTGGAATCGTCACGCGAACGTGACGGGACCGTAGTCGACTTATCACGGTCTGGAAATAAAGAGTCATAAAGTAGCAGTTATATTTTAGAAAGAATCTCTAGACCGTTGCGCCATCTGTCTCATATGGTTTGATACTCCATAGGTTTCATCACAGAATATCTAGCTACGCAACAGAAGCCTCGTTACATGTAAAAAATCGTAGACCTCAAAAGGAGACAGGCTTTTAAAGCCTGTCTCCAAATCAGATATTTTGATGCGGTAGTTTCACTACTACATAACAGAGGGCGATAAATTTAAAAGAAAACAGTTTTCTACAAACGAAATTTAAAAGAATTTTATGCAGTGTTGCCATTGTGTAATTTATATTGTAATACTTCCTGATAAAACCTATGTTCAAATTTGCGACATCATTTAAACATTTTAAAATAGATTAGAGCTCTTTTTTCAAACGTTTAAATATTTAACTTGCCATGTTAGTTGGAGTTAAATCTTACGAGCTGAATTAAAATCACTTCCTGACGTTTGATTCTAACTGAATCCTAAATTTTGATTGTAATTCGGCGACAATATAATAAGTATTGTTCTACTATTTGGACACCACTTCCTGACGTTCGATTGTGTTCATACCGTATGATCGGGAAAAAACGGCGTTAGCGATGGCTATGAAATGAAAATCGCTGTCATTTTATGTGTAAATTTATATGGGAAATGTCATTGATCGTCTTTTCCCAGCCAACTGGACGCCGTTTTTTTTCGGTATCATACGGTATTTGATATATACTTGCGTATTTTTCATGACATTGCAATATTATGGTACCATGAAGCATTTCAAGTGATACCGTAATATAGTACCATATTACGATACATGGCGTTTGATTGGGCTTAAACTTGGTATATTTATATTACGTATCTTCAGTGACATTGTAATATTATGGTACCATGAAGCATATCAAGAGGTACCATAATAGTACCATATACGATACCATTTCCTGGCGTGCAATTGGACTTATACTTGGTATAGTAAGTATCTTCAGTGACATTTTAATATGATGGGACTATGATGCATATAAAGTCGTACCTTAATATAGTACCATATTACGATACCACTTCCTGACGTTCGATTGGGCTCACAGTTGCGTATTTTTTATGACATTACAATATTATGGTACCATGAAGCATATCAAGGGGTACCATAATGTAGTACCATATTACGATACCATTTCCTGGCTTTCGATTGAGCTCATATTTGATTATACTTGCGTATTTTTGATGAAATTGCAATATTATGGTACCATGAAGCATATCAAGGGGTACCATAATGTAGTACCATATTACGATACCATTTCCTGGCGTTCGATTGGGCCCAAATTTGATATACTTGTGTTTCTTTATAAGATTTGTTTAATTAATAATTTTAATTTATTTTACGAATTTTAATTTATTGTACGATGTCGTGACAGCAACTTTTATGCCGAACTAATATATTATTAATTGTACCTGTGTCACTTTTTAAAATCTACCTAGGTCTATATAAATAACATGGCAAACAGAAAAAATTGTTATTATAGTATTTTTTAGTCAATTAAAATTTTTTGTACTGCATTTTAATAAATCATTTCCATTATTATTAAACGTATATTTCATTACTAACGTTTCAGCATTAATAAATATCACTATCAATCGCCCTGTATATTATTAATTTTAAAGGTAATTAAAGTTATTTTCTTAGTTAACATAATAAAGGAGTGTATATTAAAAATGTATTTTGAGAGCATATGTTTTCTAATTTATTTTTTTATTTTTATTAGGTAATTTATTCTAATTTTAAAAGCCAAACGAATAATTAATATAAGTGTATCTGACAAGAAACGAAAAATAGAAAGAAATTATTATACACCAGAAAAAGAATGGGATGCCAATTAAAGTCTGTTTGAATCTGGCAACTGTGCATATTTTGCCGAGCTTCAAGGCCGTCGACGTGCCGTCGATCTACGTCGATCCAAAACCGAAAGTTGAAAATTTCCAATTATATTCTGATTATGACATTGTCGCGCCATCTAGTATTTTATTTGTGCAATTTTAGCTCTTCCATTTCGAGTATTTTTCTGTTGCGTAGCTAGATATTCTGTGGTTTCATGAACTAAAAGAATATAACGTCAATTTGTCTGAATACAGATATCTACAGGGTTGCTGTTATGTATGGAAACGGTGGATTATTAGGTAAAATTTTGGTAAAATCCTAGAAGTCTCGTCTCGCATCAAAATCTGACCTGTCGATCCTCGATCCTCGCTTGCCTTGTTTTGTGTGTACTTTCTTGAATAGTTTTAAATTATAGTTTTAAATTTCATCTATTGCTATAATCAGTCTTTCCGCTCTTCGCTCTCCGCACTCCGCAGTTTACATATAATATCTTATATAATTTCCGTGTTACAGTTTTGGTTACCGTACTCCTCCGAAACGGCTTAACCGATTTTGATGAAATTTTATATCTATGTATATTCAGTAGGTCTGAGAATAGGTAGTTATATATTTTTTATACCCTTAAGTGATAAGGGTAGTCCACCCCCATTTTTTTATTTTGTGAAAAAAAAATATTTTTTTTATTTGGCATTAAAAAATACAAACAACACTAAATTTTCACCGTTCTACCTTCATCGCCTATTTTTTAATAGGGGTTGTTTTTTTATTTTTTTGTTACCATCTCCGAAACGGCTTAGCCGATTTTGATGAAATTTTATATGTATATTGAGTAGGTCTGAAAATAGGTTGTTATATATTTTTTATACCCTTAAGTGATAAGGGTAGCTCACCCCTATTTTTTTTATTTTTGAAAAAAAAATATTTTAATTTTTTTTATTTGGCATTAAAAAATACAAACAACCCTAAATTTTCACCGTTCTACCATCATCCCCTATTTTTTAATAGGGGTTGTTTTTTTAAGTTTTTTGTTACCATCTCCGAAACGGCTTAACCGATTTTGATAAAATTTTATATGTATATTCAGTACGTCTAAGAATAGGTTGTTATCTATTCTTGTACCCTTAAGTGATAAGGGTAGCCGAGAGGGTAGCCCACCCTCATTTTTTATTTTTGGAAGAAAAAATATTTTTTTTTATTTTGCCTTAAAAAATACAAACAACTCTAAATTTTCACCGAGTTTTATGTACGGTGGTTCTACCATCATCCCCTGTTTTCTAATAGGGGTTGTTTTTTTGTTACCATCTCCGAAACGGCTTAGCCGATTTTGATGACGTTTTATTATGTATATTGAGTAGGTCTGAAAATAGTTTGTTATCTATTTTTTATACCCTTAAGTGATAAGGGTAGCCCACCCCCATTTTTTTTATTTTTTGAAAAAAAAAATATTTTAATTTTTTTTATTTAGCATTAAAAAATACAAACAACCCTAAATTTTCAATTGTCCTACCATCATCCCCTATTTCTTAAGAGGGGTTGTTTTTTAAGTTTTTTGTTACCATCTCCGAAACGGCTTAACCGATTTTGATAAAATTTTATATGTATATTCAGTACGTCTAAGAATAGGGTTGTTATTCATTCTTATACCCTTAAGTGATAAGGGTAGCCGAGGGGGTAGCCCACCCTCATTTTTATTTTTGGAAAAAAAATATTTTTTTATTTTGGTCTTGTAAAAATACAAACAACTCTAAATTTTCAATTGTTCTACCATCATCCCTATTTTCTAATAGGGTTTTTTGTTACCATCTCCGAAACGGCTTGGCTGATTTTGATGACGTTTTTATTATGTATATTGAGTAAGTCTG